TCAAAAACTTGCAGGTTTCAACTTATGTTCTATCTATCCCATACACCTACTGCAAAACAGTAGGCTTTCCAATCTATAAGAACTATCCTCCTCTGTTCTTTGTGGATAGGCTCTTTGCCTGAAATAAAATAACTGTATGTGACCTTTACTGCATCTTCATATTCATGTGCTACTTAGTGGAGAGTTCCGGAATTGGGAAGAACTATCTGACAATACACAATTGTCAAACGCTCTGCTTTGCATTATGCTGGTTTCTAGAAAATATTCTGACATCAGTTAAACTTTCAAAAAGATGATTTTTTTTTTTTTAGTTTTTAAGGGTTTGTACAAGTTATTTTTTTATTTTTATCAGATTCAATAGTGCTGTCCTGACTGAAGGTGGGGCCAGCTCAAATGAGCTATAAAAATAACATGGCAACAGGACTCCAATTTTATATCTAAATATGTAGCTTAGAGCTGGCATACAGTACTGCAGTATGTGGTGGTTTATGTAAGGATTTCTTCTACTTATAAAGGGCGTGTCCCTTTCCCTTAGATGAACTATTACAGTGCCTCCAGCCGTTAAAATACGGCAAATATTTAGTAAACCAATAATTTGGACACCTTGATAATTTGATCACCACTTATTATTATACCTTGAATTCTTTTAGCCAGTATGATTTCGTACCATACACACAAAAATTTGCCTTATAATAGATAAATATAAAAATGTATTTATGTACAAAAATTATATATATATTAACACAAAACGCAAAAGACTGGTGATAAATGAATATTGGTACACACAATCAAAGATATACCCTACCAATGTAATACACAATAATAAGGTTTCTGACTAATTACATCAATATCACAATTTCTAAATGATCTGATTAAAATTAAATTTATTAATTAATAACTTCGAGTATCTCAAAGGTTATATTCTCACAAACCGTGGCCATAGGATTGAAAGAAGATATTCTCTGATAAAATATACTCTAATTATTAATATTTAATAAATTATGAAATATGAAAAAAATTATAATATGGCACCAAACAATTTTTAACAGTAAAACAGGATCTCTTTACATATATATAACTACCCAATATAGTTGTAATACACTAAGGTAATTCTATGACTCTACACAACAGAGAAAATAGACAATGCAAAAGTAAATGAATAGTCACACCACACCCGGAATTCAGACTATGAAACTCTCCCGTGGATCAGCTGGCAATGGAACGCCTTTAGAAATGATATCACAGGGCAAGTGATAGATATTTAGTATGGGAGAATGTAGGAAATTAGGAGTACAGAGGTTTAGCAATTTAGTAAAGTTTGGAAGTTTGAAAGGATGGAAGAGGGGTTATAGAGAGGTCTCTTCAGATGTCTTCAGATTCTTCTCATGAGGTCTTTCTTCAGTCAGGGTTTTCTTTTGATGAGGTTTTTCTTTTGATGAGGTTTTTTTTTTTCTTAAAGGTACAAGGGCTTTTATACCAACTAATCCATTGTTCTAAGATACCTTCCCACCAGGCTTCTTGATTGGCTAGTTGAGATATGTGTGTACATAAGCTATTTCTCACCTGCCCGCCAGATGGCAGTCTTGTACCATAGAACAATTTGAGTATTTGAGATGACTCATACCTCGGGTGGAATTTTAAGGTAATTTCAGGGATTAAATATACGTCTTTTTTCCAGATATATAAGTGATCATACCTATAGTGTTCTAAATAAGAACCATGGAATATATGTGTATATTCAGTCATTCCTCCCTGAAATACAAGCTTGTGTGAAAGCATCTATTTCCTGATGAGACATACAGCTGAGGCTAACTTACAATATATCTTACTTTTCATCATCTCAATACTCAAGTTAGTGATATATAATTCCCATTGCTGAATATTTGGTGGTGTGTGAAACCTTTTCTTTATAACATCTCTAGATACTATGCTTTTGTAGTAATATCTTTGTAGTTAGATACATTCAATTTTTTTTAGCTTTAAATGTCCTGAATTTAACTTATGTTTCAGAACCACATTTTCTATGGGTAGGGAAAAACTCTCTGTTTGCCTGGCTCTTGTATTGGAGTCACAGTAAACAACTATTAATACTTTCACCCTTGGTGGACAATAGCATATTGTGATAGTTTGAGAGGTCTGTTGGTTTATCACACTCTGCAAGGTTTGGGTAAGCTCTCAGACAATCAGTTTGGTTCCTCTATTGTCATGTCCAGACCTTGTATATGTTTACCTGCTATCGAAGTCTGAATAATGGTGTTTGACCACCTGTAGAACTTCAAATAGTATATTGTCTCTAGGAGGAAAAAAAAAAAATCCCTTCACCCATCGTTTACATTTCTCTAGCTAGATGGTCATTTGACTTTCCAACCAAGACAAATTAACCTTTAACATCCGGCTATGCTGACTTGATGTTATATAGGATTATGTCTTGATAAAATCATGTTTTTGAGACATAATTTCAAAAGGTCCACAACAAGTAAGCTTGCATAGACCCATGAGTGGCTCTACAACAGTCAAAATGCAGTAGACAGAAACAAAATTGAAACACTTTGAATCCACAGCACGTCCTGGTCACATACAGCCTAGGTCTCCCAAATACATTTTGGTGGACAAAATGGTATGGGTTACTAACAAAAATATAGGAGGAAAAAAAGATTGCATAGGGAAAGATGGCAGGTAAGGGAGGGTGGGGAAAGTTGTGGAAGGTAGAAATTAGTGAAAGGAGTGGAAGAGTAGAGACTGGGAAAGAAGGTAAAACCTGTAGAGGGAGAATCAGGAGTAGGATATGCAAAGGAGTGATTATGGTACAAGAACACATAACAGATGATACATATGGTAGGCGACATAGTTACATGTAACCTTTACGAATGTTTAATGGATTGGAGAAGAAAGTATACTTGTATGGAGTATTTTCATGACTGAAGGCTGGTGTTAATTGCTTGTCAGGTACCATAGGCTACATGGATAGTGGGCACGTTAACCAAACAACTGAAGTCCTGAACACAGTCTTTAAGTGATAGGGTTAATGAAGAATATTTGGTTTATGAAATATTGAAATTGTTGGTAGCCAAATGAGTGAGGCTTGGTGTCCCATGTGAGACGAGGTATGAAAAAATAGTTAATGTGAGGCAGTGGTATTAAGACAAGTCTTTTGAGATCTACACTAGTAGAATTTTTAATGAAAATTTGTCCCAAATGTCTCAGTACGTTGAAAAGTCATTTGAAAATAGTTCAATATTTCATTTTTTACAATCAATCTTAAAATTAATTGACTGTACCGAACAGAAACGCTTACACTGAAATTCGTATGTTCGAGTAAAATTTCAGTCCTGCTCGTTTGCATTTTGTCATCACTGCGGTCGAAAACGAGCACTGAATTCTGCTAGTATATACCCAGCTTAAGAGTGACTAGTTGTCTTGTATAAGATGTTAATGAGAAAAATGCAAAATAAAGTTTGTAATGATTCTTTGTAATAATGCCTCTAGAGCTCTCCTGCAGGAAATATTTCTTGGATTTAGTACAAAAAATTGAAACAGAAGTGTGCTTAAACACAATCTGATATTAATCTGGTCTGAGTTAAAAGTTTGTAGTCCCTTATAGGAAGGTTTTCACCACCTTTTTCATGGATCAAGAAACCTGGCACAAGATATTTGTAAAGCTTCACCTGTTGGATTTTAAATGTACCTAGCAAGTTAAGGTCACCCGGCTGGTGGAATATTTCTGATCTTCCAGCTGTAGTAGCAATTAGTTGCAAAAGGTAGCCCCATTTATATCAAACTTCATGGGTTTTCAGTGCTTCCGACAGTGGTTTAAAACGTTCGGCATATGCAAAGTAGGGACTTAGAGAGGTCTACTAGTAACAAAAAAAAAAAAGTGCTGCCATTTGGGTATGTTGGTGTTAGGATTTGGATGACTGTTAGGGGTTTTCAGGTTCCCCATGCATGCTTGTAGGGGACAAAAGAAAAGCGTAAACATCACCTGCTTGGCATCTGAACAGGGAGCTGTAGATAAGCACATCCTACTTTGCCAACAGTTTGCCACATCCCCTTCCCAAATACATTTTGAAAGATTGATGTTACCAGGTTCTTTTCCCCCTAACTTGATGACATCACGCTCAGAAAATGCATTTAGATGGCAAGACACTCATGGGACCATGCATTATGTGCTTCTTGACATTACTTCCTTTTTAAAGCTTAACTCCAGGGAAACCTCTAAATTTGAAGGTGAAATGCCTATATGGACAGTTTTACCTGACTAAACCTGGCCGTACATTCATCTGTTTTTTTTTCTGGCTGATTGAAAGAAACTGACTAGACTCTCCATCCATACTTTTAAGGTAGATGGCGGAATCATTTCTGAATCTTCTCCGTAGTGTTATTGTATTCTGACATCAGGGACTCCTCTGCTGTTGGATAACACTGACCAGCACTTTCACAAATTTTCTTTCACGAGCAGTCGATCAACTTCTCACTAATGGGAATGGCCATAGATGGATCAAAATTCGCCTGGTCCCTGCTGAACTGGCTGAATTTCGATCTATGGCCAGCTTAAGGGTTTGGACTTCTGTCCGTTTTTAGTCCTGAGATGTACACAACTCTGCCTGGGGCACAGCCAACAGGATAGCATTGTAGACTAGACAGTGGGAAACCGAGGCCCTCTGCTCACTAAACGTTCTGTTCAATTACCATTTTTCTTTGTCAGGATTTTCACATAGTCTACCTGATTGGCTCCTGGTGCTAACTTTCTCCCACTCCCAAGTGCTGCTGTACGGGGGATTGCAAGGATCTACAATAAAGTAAATTTTCTTGTACTTAAGATTGCATTTTAAAAAAAAAAAAAAAGTATACAATTTCATATCTGCATGTATTTAATCATTAAATCTGCAGAGTTTCAATTTTCAGGGGTTCCTAAGCTTTTTTTTTTTTTTTTTTATTATTATTTTTTTTTTTCTTTGTGTATTTTCTCTTTTGACTCCTGTGTATCCTTGGTTCTTTTGCAGAGCTGAGCTGGGTGGATTAACTGCTTTCTACTGTACCCTGGAAGGGCTTGAGATGGATGCCGCCGGATTAGATGGATCCTCGAATACCCAGGCCAGTTTAGGCACACTTTTGGCTATTAAACAGCGTTTACCAGAATTTCATCAACTTCTTATTGACCCACCTAAGGTACACTTATATGCTTGTAACTGTGACGTATGTAGTGTTTCAGAATAAAAATATCCGTCATAACTTTGCCTTACCAGTGTAATTCTGTTAATTGTTTTAGAACTTAGAAGGATTAGAATACTCTCTCTATGGCTGCCTAGGCCCCTGTTGTGGAGATTTTTGTTCACTTCTAACAGGAAGTAAAGGAAAATCTTCTTAATGGGGGTACTGACACAATTAAAAGGCTCATGGGACATGTGAACTTTCCAGGAAACAGCTCTGAGGCCAGGGTTACATCATTAGTGCCTTACTCAACCAGAAAGTGGAAAAACAACTGTAAGTAAAAGCAGTAGTGCAAAAGTAAATGTTCTTCGAATGAATGTAAGATTATTTCTTATCAGCCCGCAGAGCTGTATGCTGATGTGATTTTTAGTGAAAGGGGGAGAGATCCACTTTAAAAGGACTTAACAACTGCGACCATAAATCCTCTGATCATCGGTCGCATGGATAGGTGATTGTGGCATTGGACTTTAGCTGTAAATGGGCTGTTCTAAGCCTTACTTACATATTTTCCTGCTTTCTGAATTAACCAGAAGAAAACCTGCTCCCTTTAGATTGCTGTGAGACTCTGGATCTACCAGAGCACCTTGAGTGGCGCTATATGTGGTATAGGGTCTAGTGAACAAAGCAGCAGCTGCAGCAGTCTTTAAGTGGCCAACTTGTGAATAGTGTCATAACTAATAGAGCTTACTGCTGTGCCTATCCAAGAACAGAAATGCATATAGCATACTTGCAGCTATGGCTTTACAGTTTCACCAGATGTCACTGAAGGTACATGCACTGAATGGGTACTTGCAGGCAACAGCAGTCTTTTCAATTGCACAAACACTTCGCGATCCTTAGAGCTGGTAGTACCTGACACTGTCAGGCAGCATGCTTGAGTGGTAGCAGCTGTTAGCAAAGCCTGATGCTGCGATGGGTATGGTTAGAGGACACAGGATGCTGTGATGTCATTCATGATGTCAACACATTTTACCCTCCCTAGCTCACTTAGTTCATACCTTTGCCAGATTTCAGGATCCCTTCCATCTGTGATTTGTGACTCCCTCAGGGTCCCTTTCCTCCACTTTCCTCTCAAGGGCAATTTTTTTTTTTCTGTTTGATAGAATTGCCTCTTTTATTGAGACAATAAAGACAATGGAATGTGGGGCTCACACGTGGACCTCTTCAACATTTTTTCCAGAGTCGGAGCCAGAGTGCCCCCTGGTGCCTTCTCCTTTTATTGCAGGTGGACAGATATAGGAATAATTCCTCAGATCCAGAATTTTCATAACAAGGATATGCTCTCTGCTGAGCTTTCCAGAAAACTCAGGGATACTATTGATACTCTTATTAATGGGGTGTGCTCATGCCTGTCATTGGAGTAGCTAGAATCTGCTAGCCCAGAGCTCTCTAGCTTAGAGTCCATTAAATTGGCAAACTTAAGAAGACCTTCCCAGTTCATTTGCGGTCAAAACCTGTTCTGCAATTCCTTGCCATCCCTGCCTCCAACTAGTTATGGCCTCCTATAGTCGCTGCCTATGCTAGCCCCGGATCCATGATCCTTCTAGTTTCTTCTTTCATGTTTCCTTTCTGATTCCCTTTTGTTTTAGTTTCTTTTTCTTTTCTTCTACAAAGGAGTAGCTGTGAATATAGTATACTTGGATTTTGCAAAAGCTTTGACACAATTCCCTACACATAGCTAATGTGCAAGGTAAAGTCCTACAAGGTTCTAAAATCCATTTATAAATGGATAGAAACCTTGATAAAAGACCATATTGAGAGGCATGGAGCTGCTCAGCTATGAAGCAAGATTAACTGACCTAAATTTATTCTCCCTTGAGAAGAGGAGATTAAGAGGGGGGAGATATGATCAACTTGTGTGTGTGTGTGTGTGTGTGTGTGTGTGTATATATATATATATATATATATATATATACACACACACATAATCCATACATATAGTGAACTTAATTAAAAAGGTTGATGCTGCGCTACTCAGAAAACATAACCTTGTAGCAAAAATATTTTTTTTAGTAGACACCCCACAGGGCACTAAAGAATTAAGTAATAATAGTGACAGATAAAAAAAATCACATAAGCATAATGAACCTGCAGTGATATAAATGAATAAAACAAAAATCCCAATAAATTGAAATATAGACACAAACACCCAGCTGCCTCAAAAAATGTGCAAAAAGTGACCGAGCAATACAAATGTCCAGAGTAATAAATGAAAATAATTAGCAAATTTGCCTGTGAAATTATCAAAATAACTTAAAATGGTGCTTAATAGTGACAAAATACTTGAATGTGCTGTAAAAACCAACTGAACCCTCAAAGTGAAATCACATAATATTCATAAAAAAGTCCCAAGATGTGCAATAAAACAAAATCTTCAGTAATCTGTGAATCCACCAGCGAGCACCGCTTGTGCTCCTCCACCAGCTAGCATGCACGCTCACCTCCAACTTTTTTACTTACTACTCTGGGGAGGTGATCAGGATTTTTTTTTTTTTTTACAACCTATGATTGCTTATAGCAGTGATTTTTCACTGCTGTGAGCAAGCATTTTTACTTAATGAAATAATTCGGTGTGTATTGTGATTAGCTGTGATTGGCTGGGGTTGCACTATAAACAAAAAAAACGACAGTTTTGAAAACAATATTTTTGAATTTTTGCTATAAAACACATCCAATAAAAAAAAATTCTTCATAAATTTAGGCTAAAATGTATTCTGCTACATGTCTTTTCTAAAGAAAAATCCCAATATGTGAATCCCAATACGTGTAAATTGATTTGCGTGAAAATTATAGCGTCTACAAATGGTACTATATTTACTGGAATTTTAATTTGTTTTTATACTAATAATGGCGGCGATTAGCGACTTTATAGTGAGACTGCGGCAGGTATTCTGACACTGGGTGGGAACTGACTAAGTGCCACTGACATCCCCAGTGATACTAATACAGTGATCAGTGCTAATAAAAAGCACCAACACTGTACTAATGACACTGGGCAGAAAGGGGTTCACATCTGGGGTGATCAAAGGGTTAACTGTGCTGTGTGTTTTTTACTCTGTGCACTGTGTTGTGTTTTACTAGGGAGACATGATGTTTTGTATCTCTCTGCTGTACAAAGCAGCATGTCCATGCTGACAGGAGAGAACTGTGTTTACACACAGGTCTCTCTCCTGTCAGCTTTGCCCAAAGATCACCGAGTGCTAGCTGGGAATCGCCGGCCCAGACCCGTTGATCGACATCTCTAGCCGCCAAAAGTGGCATGGGTAGCGCGGCGTGCTCCCCCTTACCCATAAATGCAAATCACGTGTGTATATACGTGATTTTGCACATCCCTTCCGTCCTCTAGCAGTACTTTTGCTATAGGGCGGAGGGCAAGTGGTTAATACAAGATTTAGTATCACTTTAAGCTTATTTGTAGGTAAAAGTAGGAGAAACCAGTTTACTACCACTTTAAGCCTTACCAGGTTTTTGCTAAGGCCATCTTTAGGAATAAGGTACTTCAAACTGCATTCAATCTCTTGAAGTTCATGGTTTTGCCAGTGGCTCTTGTGTTCCTGTTGGCATTGTTTTGGTTTGCCCACCACTCAGCTGGATTGTTTGGGGACTTCCCTAAGTCTTAGATTTAAAGCGCCTGTATCCTGTACTGTATGAACAAAAAATTATTTTTTTTTAAATCCTTCCCTCGGTAAATTCCAATTCATATTGGCTATGTATGTGCATTTACAGTATCTCAACCACAAACAGTTTGCTGAAGACAAGCAGACTAAGAACATGGATTACTGGAACCATGTCCTGTGGTCTGATGAGACCAAGATAAACTTATTTGGTTCAGATGGTGTCCAGCATGTGTGGCGTCAACCAGGTGAGGAGTACAAAGACAAGTGTGTCTTGCCTACAGTCAAGCATGGTGGTGAGAGTGAGTGTTATGGTCTGGGGCTGCATGAGTGCTGCCGGCACTGGGGAGCTACAGTTCATTGAGGGAACCATGAATGCCAACATGTACTCACATACTGAAGCAGAGCATGATCCCCTCCCTTCGGATACTGGGCCGCAGGTCCGTATTTCAACATAACGACCCCAAACACACCTCCAAGATGACCACTGCCTTGCTAAAGAAGCTGAGGGTAAAGGTGATGGACTCACCAAGCATGTCTCCAGACCTAAACCCTATTAAGCATCTGTTGGGCATCCTCAAAGGGAAGGTGGAGGAGCGCAAGGTCTCTAACATCCACCAACTCGGTGATGTCGTCATGGAGGAGTGGAAGAGAACCCCAGTGGCAACAGGTGAAGCTCTGGTGAACTCCATGCCCAAGAGGGTTAAGGCAGTGCTGGAAAATAATGGTGGCCACACAAAATATTGACACTTTGGGCCCAATTTGGACATTTTCACTTAGGGGTGTACTCTCTTTTGTTGCCGCTGTTTAGACATTAATGGCTGTGTTGAATTATTTTGAGGGGACAGCAAATTTACACTTTTATACAAGCTATACACTCACTACTTTACATTGTAGCAAAGTGTCATTTCTTCAGTGTTGTCACATGAAAAGATATAATAAAATGTTTATAGAAATGTGAGGGGTGTACTCACTTCTGTGAGATACTGTAGCAGCTAAACAATCACCTGAAGGTAGCATATAACTCAAGCAATTAAAAGAGCCTGGGTCCTGCACTTTCCTACAAGAAAAGGATCATAGAGAGTGGAGCCATTCCACACCAAGCATCAAGTGTCCAAGTGCACATCAACATCTGTACCACTGTCCCATCAACATCTCACAGTGTACCACTTCACAAAAACATCTGTCAGTGTACCAGTGCCCCATCAACGTTGTTGGTGCCCCTAGTGGACCTTCAACATCTGTTAGTGTATCAGTTCACAGACACATCTGTAACAGTGTACCCATCAATATCTGCACTAGTGTCTCATTGCAACATCAACATCTGTCCTTGTCCCTAGCGGA